CCCCAAAACCCCAAAACCCCAAAACCCCAAAACCCCAAAACCCCTATATTTATGAATTTAGTTGAAAAAGCTACATAATTTTTGAAAATGGAGTCTAAACCATCCTGAAATATCTGATCGCAGCCATCAAAAAAAACATGCTCTCGATGCCTCTCAGTATACTATTGCTCTGGTGAATGCCAGAAGCAAGACTGGAAGACCCATAAAAAGGCGTGCTTTAGTCCAAAGCTTGATGAAGAACTCAGGGATAACAGTAAAAATCTAAAAGCCGATGATTTCGAAGAGATTCGCAAAATTGGAGAAGGCAACTTCAGCAAGATCATCCTAGTTGAGTACAAGAAGACAGGCAAGTAATTACGCAATGAAGCTTATCGAGAAACTTAAGGTTAAGAATCTCAGGAAAGAATTAGATGTCCTACATGAAAAGTTAACTCTGTACAGAATCTTAGACAAAGATAGAGGAAAACTACCAGACTCAGATGACAAAGTTGAAGAACTTACAGATGGAGAAGAGAAAAAGGAGACCAAAGAGCTGGACTCATCAATAGTTAACCCAATGAGAGTTGTCAAACTCTGAGCTACTTTCCAAGATGAGCTGAACTTATACCTCATTCAAGAAAATTTACTTGATAAGGGTGGAAAGGAAGTATGGGAGTATTGCCGTTCATTTGGATTAGAAAATCATAAGGTTGTGGAATATACTTTCTACCAAATATGTAAAGCAGTTCAACAAACTCATTATTTCCAAATTCTTCATAGAGATTTGAAGCCAGAGAATATGTTTTATACTCCAGATAGATCAATTGTCAAACTTGTAGATTTTGGATCATCTATGTTTGTAGATAATCCTGAACTCAGAAAAGCAGAAATTGATAATCATCCAAAAAGAAACAAATTCGTAAATTTTGTTGGAACACCCAATTTCATGGCTCCAGAATGAGCCCATAACAAAGAAACCTCATATGCCTCTGACATTTGGAGTCTTGGTTGAATCCTTTACCAACTCTATTGTGGGATAAACTGTTTCAGAGGGGGTTCTGAGTACTTAATCTTCCTAAAATCAACAGAGGCTGAGTACGAATACCCTTCTTCTTCAGTAATCCCTTCAAAGGCTCGTTTGCTCATCTCTGAAATGATCCAGATCGATCCTTCTGCACGTATACCGCTTGATTCCCTCCTCTCTTCCTCCTATTTCGATGAAGTGCGTGACCTAACTCATCTGCCTGAAATCTCAGCTGAAGAACAAGTCCTTGTAGAGATCAAGAAGGATATTATTAAGAGGCATAATGTGTATAAATTAGACTCTCAAGAAGTGTTTATGGAGACTATTAGAGATAGAGTTGTAGATAGGCTCGGGGAAGAGTATTATAATGAAAACAAAGATTATATCGAGCATACCATAAAAATAGGCAGAAATTATGTATATGACCTTGAATGGAAATTTGAGGAGGAGGAACAACAAGAAAATGAAGCTAAAGACGATTCTGAAAATAAAAGTGAAAATGAAGCAGAAGGGGAAGCAGAGGAAAAGGAAGAAAATCAAGGTGAGGGTGAAAACGAGAAATAATAATTTTCAAAAATAAGAAAGGAAAGAGAAACATTATTTATAAGCCACTTTACTCATTTTAAACCTCAATAATCTTTTCAATCAACAGATAAATAGTTGGGGTTTTGGGGTTTTGGGGTTTTGGGG